GGTGCTGCCCATCTCCTGCCTGTTTCCCTTTGTCGCCTTTTACGACACCCACGGGAAGATATGGGGTAGTGGATATTCTTAACCGCCACTACACGGCACCGCCACTACACGGCACCAATTGCCAATTAATTTCTTTAAAATGTATATTAATATTAATTGTGTATAAAAATAAAACAAGATCAGAGAGACTGTATTTTATTGACTAGTAAAATATTATGCCATATTATATATAATCAACTTGAAATGTCTCTTACAATAACTAAACAAGCGCGATTTGTTTACAACTATAGTATACTAAAAAGTGGACATTTTTTGCTTTACTTCATAATACTGAATGTCTTGAAATAAAAAAATAAAGATTGAAACAGAAACGTTCTTTCATTATTTCAAGACACGTTTATTAAAATACTTTAAAAATACAATTTATCACTACACATAGGTATACGTACAATCGAATTAAAATATCGTAAAAAATCTTATTTTTGTCACTATCCAATTACGTATATCCGTTGCATCGTATAACAGATGACATCACTGAAATCCTTATTATAGAGATAGAGAACATTAAGCCGCGTTAAAAGTATAATAATAAACTTATGCCTTTAAAACTCTTTCCAATAAAAATAAAAAATTTAAACAATAAAAATTGTAAATGGCCAAGGCTAATTATGATACAGCGTAGGCGCCAGGCGTATAAAAATGTTTTTTTTATTTCTTTTTTAATTTAATGTTATAATTTCAAAAAGTGGCCAGTTCCTGTTTCTTTTATATATCTTTTCGTTTTTTTTAAATATTGTTTGGCGTTAAAATTTAAATAAAGTTATAATTCTATCACAAAACAAAAGACATTTTAAAATGGTTTAATAATAATAGAAATCGATTAAATAATTTTGCAATTTTTATCTTTTTCTTTGTTTTTAAATTAATTTACTTAACTTGATTTGAAGTCAAAGTAGCATTCTGCAGTGCTACATAATAAGAGGATATCTAAGCGGTGTTTAGGCCGTACAAACGTCTTCCCCTGTTTTCTCCGTGGATATTGATGCTAGAACAAATATTTTATTCAAAACAATTATTATCCCACCACTGCCATGTTTTTTAACCTTTGTTTTTTTAAAACTGAAAAATTCATAACCATTTATTTTAAAACTAGAACCTCAAAATTACTAAAACTTTCAGTGCACCACTGTTATTTAACATCCAACAAAAAAAACGAATATAGAAATATAAGGAAAATCCACATACGCACTCAATGTATGTATACTTAAATATAGTAGCTATGTATGAATAATATACAGACATAAGCCAACAATGCTTCGTCTATTTTTTTTTAAATATTCAACTCTGTCCAGTTTTTGTGAAGTAAAATATACTCTATCGGTCATTAGGGCACAGCGTGACAGAAATGGATTGTTATAAACTTATTCATCAAATTTCTTAGACCCCCGGATATCCTCTTAAGCGGTCTGAACTAAAAATTGTGATAAATATATGCTCTTAGTTTTTGTTAGTTTGAAAGCTTTTAAGAAAAATTTTATATCATAGATCAATGGGTATTAAGAAATGTTTCGGTTATAACATTAGTAAGTACGGTAAGAAGCACTACAGTGTGCGCACGCTTGTGTTGTTACAATTTGTGACAATGTAGTTATTGTACATTGAGCTGAGCAATCAAGCATTATCGCCATGTTAAGCCAAATTTAATACAATTATGGCCAAATACTCAAACGCTACTTAATTGTAACCGTGCGTACATATTATATAACGTAAATTGTTATAAGTAATATATAACATGATTCAGTAATGGGGCCGAATGTTATAAAATATGTTATATAACTCGACAGTATTTTTCTCTAGTCAATAAACTATGTTTGTTTGGGACGAACCCAGTATCTATGTTTTTTTCTTTGTTATTTAAAAGTACAAGAGTTGCTGCACCAGCTTGCAAAACGTCTTCTCGTGTCGATATTGTAAAATGCAGAACGACAAAGGACAATGTCATATAACATTGTTATATTGCATTGTTATTCTAATGTGTACAGTATCGTTATATGTTGCAATGTTAAAAAACAATGTAACATAATATGGACGTGTTATAAAACAAAAGTTACACAACATGTTATGTAATCTGTACGCACCCTAAGATGTCGTTAACTCTCGTGGTGTCACAGTCACCTTAATTTAAAGTGATAGAGACAGCACGGGACTTACGGCATCTTTAAATTGATCAGCGTTTGAGTATTTGAGAAATAGACTATCAAACTTTTCTCGTATTTTATTTACTATTTTGATTATTCGACTTGTTTATAATACTTGTATATAATACAAAATTAGTATGAAGGCCGCAACTCAATTTAGAAACTATAATAACGAATTATCAAAGTCGGTGTATTACAAAAAGGAATACCCAATACTGTACTAGAATCACATTTTTTCCAAATGCTCTCCACGAAACTCCTTCATTCCACGCTACGTCGATATCAAATCGCCACATTAACATAATATAATAATAATAATATAAGCATCACTCAGCCTTTAGCAAAAGCACATACAATACAAGTGTTGCCAGCGTATCTATTTCGGTAGTTATTTTAACTACTTTTACTATATACAGTTTCGAAAATTGTTCATGTTAGTTGTCGAGCCTAGAGAGCATAGCAACACTCACAACAATATTTCGCATTTAAAGCAATACCTTATAACGATACACTTGTCATGACATTAAAAAAATCATAAGATTAAAGCTGTGCTTTTTTGCTCATAAATATCCCGTAAAATATATAACTTATGCATCGTAAGTTATTCATAAACGTATAATTATAGATTGTAACTAAATTATCTATCGATTTTACTAAAAATAAATCGAAAAATTTCGTATACATAAAAATCGAATCTTGAACAGAAATCGATATTAAACATTTCTTTTTAACTTAAACTGCCAATTTACTTTCTAGTACGACATACAATCTGTCGTTCTGCCGGTAAAGTTCATCTTCCATTTTAGTTCTTAAAATTTACACCTAAATTTAAAACTTCGATATATTTTCCGCGTATACAGTTTTGAATCGAACAGTTAACGTTTGAGTATACTATTATTTAGTGGAATCGTATATTTATATCGTATAATCGTTTAAAATACTTATTAGAAGTACAATAACCTACACTAATATGGCTGCGTAAAAATCAACTTAAAGGAAACCATAGTTATAATGAGTATACTAAAACTTATATTTATACAAATAAATACAATATTTTCTGTCTATGGACGGTATTGTCTATAGTTTATTTTTTTCGTGGTAAAATATTCTTATCACTATTTCATTTTGTTCAATCGGAAAAGAGGGTGGAAACGAAAAGGAAACTACTTTACTCACAACCGGCTTTAAAAATTGACGAACACCTGTTCACAAGCATTATTAACTAAAAGGCATCCACAGAATAAAATCCACAGAAAAAACTTACGTTTACAGTAGGTTAAATTAATCTGTTATATGGCAACATCACCCGTTCTGTTACTAATACAAAACAAATACAACAAATTCAACTCAACCGAAATGAATATGCAATGGTCTGTAAAACTTAATTTTAGCACAAACTTTTAAGTTAAAGTGATATCATAACAAAAATTCAAGTTAGCAAGTGTCAAAGCGATTTTGGAATAAATAATTGCCAAAAGAAGCGGATGATGTTGCAATTTACAAAAAATATACTGTCATTTTGCAGACTAATTTTAATGGAAGATATATTATTCTATCTGCATTATAATTAATATAACACGATTCTCTATGGTTGAATGCAATATTTACGTTATCATTCAGATTTTAATTTATTACTTTTCCCATTGAGAATCGTATTATATAGCTTGAGGGTCCACCACATATTACGTAACGGACTTAATATCGTTTTACAGCCCTTTAACGCTGACAATAAAAAATATAGAGAATAATACCAATTTTTTTTTCTATTGCCTATAAGATTAATTATTTTATTTAAACGAATATAATGTTCTTTTTTTATATTATAATAATTTAAAAAATCCGTAGCAAAAAATCCTTGCATAATACGTGGAAAACCCTTGTAAAACAACCACGAACTCAATACCCGCCACAACATTATCAAGCGTAATTAATGGTAAGAATATTAAAACTTTAATATAGTGAGGTACGAATTACGTATACAAGTTTCTATGCTACATTTCTTATGACTATGGTATACACAGTAACAATGTCTTTTTCAAATATAAAAAAAAACAAAAGCGTTTGTCATAATGAATTCCCGCTGTTTTTGAATCGAATATCTCTTTGTCGAATGTTATTTTTTTTTTCATAAAAGTAATGAGCTGTTTTGACCGCATAAAAATTTTTTTGCAAAATTTTAATTTGCTTGATGCTATATATTTTTTAAATGCTTTTTTGTTGATCCGGAATTCTATTCAGTACATAAAGTCAAAAAAAAAGTAGAGGATTAAATTCACTCACAAGTGCGACTGAGTTGATACTAACCGTTTCTGCTTCTGCAGCCAAGTGGCAGTACCACCCAGTGCAGTGGTTAGGTTTCAAGTGTAGGAGGGCCGGTATAATTACAGGTCAGGCATTCCATCTTATTCCTCAGAGGTTAACAACGCATTTGTTGCCTTCTTTGTTTGAAATGGGTTGTCAGAGTCCATAGACTGCAGTAGCAACTTACCATCAGATAGGCTGTATGCTCGGTTGTCATTGCAGTTTTAAAAAAAAACTTAAATAATTCATATTTTCTGTTGTGCATTCCATAGGATCTGGATTATCTATTCTTTCTGTAATACAATCATACAGTGTCGATAATACTGTAAATTTCGATAGTTGATTTGGGGTCTATCGATAGTTGATATTGATAATATCGATAAACTACAGATTTTTCGGCAACACTAACAGAAACTCACATGCCTTTGACTTTATTATCTCGTTCCGTAATTACCGTTTTACCGTTTACGTATCATTATAAAAATATTGCGTAAGTTGCGTCTAGTGCATCGGTTGCTGAATGGGGGGGTAGTTTGTGTGCTCGCTTGTGTCTTCGCCCTGCGCCTCCTGCTCCTCGCCCGACTGTTCGCCATCTTGCTCCTCGTCTTCAGACGAAGAAAGTAAGCCTGGAAAATTGTTTCAAATTTACACATAATATACAATTTTGGAAAAAAGTCACTAACATATTTGAATAGAAGTGGTTCTCAATTCGTCGTAATATTTACCCAACAGCGCGACACAAAGGAGTGTGTTTATAAGCCTACACTGGGTTATTTTGGAATAACGGGCTAAATTTGTAGAGAAGGTTCAGAATAAGTAATATTCTCAAACATTCTGTCCTTTTATCTATTAAATTCAAAATGTGTGGTAATGCATTATTTTACAACGCACGCACACATTCGTAAGGGTCGATCGGTCAGCTAAAACGTTGTTGCACACGGAGGAGCGCGCGCACGCTTAATTGTTGTCCATAAATCACATTCAATTTGGGATAATTTCAAATAAAAGTAGAAGTTTTATTTACTAGTATTTTCAAAAACTGTAATAGCGTTATATCATTGTTTATGTATTAAAACTTAAGTTTAAAATTTGGCTACTCTTTAAAAAATAACCCTGTAACTCGTATTGTATGTATGTATGTATGTATGTATGTTTATTTCTTTCTGGTGCTCTAGAAACCAAACGCGTGCGTTGGTTTTGATGATTCTTCAATCGATTTCTCTTAATCTTGTTAGTGTCACTAAAGACATGACAGTAATCAAAATTTACAATGGCGACAACCAGGCGCCATATTGAGAAAAAGAAAAAAATGAAACGACGAAAGGCGAACTATGTCAATTGGGGGTATCAATGCATAGGTCTTTAAAAATCATCTAATATTAAAATAGGAAACATTTTGAATGACCATTTAGGATCAATAACGATTTAAAGCTGGCTAGCAATAATTCTTACTTAAATTTTCAAAACTTTATAATAAAGCTGTGTTAAATTTCAAATATAATCGTATTATAGATCTGATTAGAAATTATTACGCAGTCGCCGTTTAAAGCCGTTGGTCCTTTTTTTTATAGGATAGAGTGACAAACGAGCAAGTCCACCTGATGGTAAGTGGTTGCTGTGACCCATAGACATCTACATTCATCCTCAATAAAGAATCAAAATGCAGATGCGACGTCACCCGTGAGGACTAAGATGGAATGCCTCTTTTCCATTAAAACGGGTCTCCGGTTTTAGAGAATTAGAATCCTGCGCTTAATCTCTCTCTCTCTAAATTCTAAGATACTCACCAGCAGTAAACTGTGGGTTGGTAAGTGCATCTGGCCAATATCTTTTGCTTATCGACGAGCCGTTTTTACTTTTCTTTCCTCCTGCAAATGAAATATAAACTGCTAAACAGGAACGTTAAATCACGAGAAATACAATGTTATATTAATCTCATGGGAAAGGTTCTCGAAAGGCAGCCTCGTACCGGTAGGCGAGATGTAGGCGTCCTAGATAGAGTGACGACCTTGTAAGACATGCACGAAGTCGATGGATGCACGTGGCTCAGGAGCGTGCTTTGTAGCATTGGGAGAGGTCTATGTTTAGCAGTGGACTTGTGAAAGGCTGTAATGATGATGATATTACAGTGTTTAAAAGAATCTACTCTAATTTTTGAGTGGGTTGTAAAGGAATTAGTTCGCCGCTTCGCTTCAGTAGTGTTGTTGGGGTTCACATGTCCTTGAAATACTTTATTTCTCAGACGTGCAGGTTTCCTCGTGATACGTTCCTTCACCGCCGAGCACGTGATAAATCAGCACTTAAAATTGTAATAGACAATTTTATTGGTGCCGTCGGGAATCGAGCTCGAGTTCAGACAATAGTACTTGATGGTAAGTGGTGATGGGGCCACCGAAGATGGTAGAGTGCATTATGCAAGATAGTAAAGCACGGCTTAGCTTAACATTGGTTTTAGTTTTTTAAAACGTTACCCCCACACTAGGATTTTCTCCTGTGTCGTGGAGGCAGTTTACAAACATAAATTGCACGAGGACAAACATCCAGGCCCGCAACAATTTTTGTAGGCCATACAAATACTTGTTCCGTGAGGGATTCGTGCACCACGGAGCCGTCCATATTTAATTACATACTTTAATCTGATGGGAAGACAGACGTTGGAAAATATTTCGCAAACCGATTGGTACGAATTCGTATGCATTCGGTGCCAGCATGTGTATATCCATCCGGTTACAATGTAAGAGTTCAAGTCAAGAGTGAATAAGAAGCGGTTTAAGTTAAATAAGTCAGTAAGTTTATAATATGCAGGTTAATCAATGTCTTTTTAAAGTCGATTTACATAATTGTAATCAACTTGTACTTTTTCGAATCGCCATGTGTCAGACGGGTGGAGCTAAAATACGACAATTTGCATATTTTCATAACGCTTGGTTTGGTCTGAGTTCGATAAGTGATAATCTATCACATCATGTGATATTTCAGTACATGGTTTAATTTGGCTATCATAAAAACGTTAGAAAACATTCACATCTAAAGTGCACTTATCATCATCACTACAGCCCTTGTGAAAATCCACCTCTGAACATAGGCCTCCCCCAAGAAATGCCACAAAACACGGTCCTGAGCCACCTGCATCCATCGACTTCTTGCATCTCTTACCAGATCGTCACTCCATCTACTGTGGGGACGCCCTACACTTCGTCCGCCGGTACGAGGCCGCCACTCGAGAACCGTGTACACACTACTAAGAACTGTGTACACGTTACAGCGTATTAAAAGTCCACTGATGAAACCTGATGATGATGCCTCCCCCATATATTGCCTCATAGGTATATTTACCATTACCGCATTTATTCATTTATACATACATACATACAGGTCAAGCTAATAAAGTGCGTTAAACTAAATACTGACGACTTAATTCAGTAAGCACGGAGAGATTGTTAGTGGTATTGGAGTAAAATTAAAAATAGTGAATTGTATAAGAAGTATGAGGTTGTGGAGGCTTTTACTCAAAACGAGATCCATATTTCTGAAAATATACGCAGTTAACCGTACAATTAACCTATATACATATAAATAAAATTGAAGTGGCTGTCTGTAATATCGAAATAATAGGCTTCTATTAAGCTTAGGTGGCTTTTTATGTGCTAATAATACATAAACTTGTATCTATTCTGTGAGATAAATAATCATTTAAAAAAAATTGTCTGTCTGTTTTTCTGTATGTCTGTCTGTCTGTTCGGGCTAATCTTCGGAATGGATTAACTAATTTTAATGAAAAATTACGAATAGACAGATTTTTTTTAAAAAAACCGAAAAATGGATAAAACAAATGGTCTTTAATTATCTAAACCCTAAATAACCGGGGCAGGTCGCTAGTAATAGGTATAAACTAAGCTACTAATACTGCAAATGCAAAAAAGTATGTAGGGATAAGGAATAAAAAGACTTCATTATTATTTATGGTGTATTTTTAGACACCTGGCTGGACAGTATAAAATATATCAATGAAAATGATAAATATACATTAATATATGTAGTAAAATTAATAAATCAATAATACATAAATAAATATAAACCCAAGGAGATGGAAACCCTCGGCAGGGAAACCAAACGGCCAAGGGTTAGGAGGAAAGGAGAAAAACCAGCGGATTTGAGCCCGAAACGTTCCGTCACGGAGTCGGCTAGCGGCAAGTAGATACTATAGATTTCTTATATTTACGTGAAGACTACACATTAAACGAAACTAATTTTTACGGATTTTATCACATTTAATTTAATTTAACTTTTTAATTCCCGATGTTTCGGGTGCTTTACAGCACCCGTGGTCACGAGGGGGGATTGAGGTATTTGACGAGCCGATGTCATAGTTAGCCTGGCCTACCTTCAATTCATCATCATTACAGCCCTTCACAAGTCCACTGCTGAACATAGGCCTCCCCCAAAGAATGCCACAAAGCACGGTCCTGAGCCACCTGCATCCATCGACTTCCTGCATGTCTTACCAGGTCGTCACTCCATCTCGTGGGGGGACGCCCTACACTTCGCCTACCGGTACGAGGCTGCCACTCGAGAACCTTTCTTCCCCATCGGTTGTCGGTTCTTCGAGCTATATGGCCGGCCCACTGCCACTTCAGCTTACTAATCCGTTGGGCTATGTCGGTTACTCTGGTTCTACTGCGGATATCCTCATTCCTAAGTTTATCACGCAGAGAAACTCCGAGCATAGCCCTCTCCATAGCTCGCTGAGCGACCTTGAGCTTCCTCATACGGCCAGCAGTGAAGGACCACGTCTCAGTTCCATAAGTCATTACTGGCAACACGCACTGGTTGTACAATTTCGTTTTCAGGTTTTGAGGTATGTCTGACGAGAAGATGTGTCGTAGCTTCCCGAAAGCTGCCCAGCCGAGTTGAATCCGTCGATTGACCTCTCGGTCGAAGTTGGACTTACCTAGTCGGACTATTTGTCCCAGGTAAACATACTCGTCAACAACTTCGAGCTTAGTGTTCCCAACAACTACCGGCATAGGTGTGACATGGACATTAAACATGATCTTTGTTTTGTCCATGTTCATCTTAAGGTGGCACAAGTCGCGGGCTCGAACTCGCTGGTGGGCGCGGCCAAAAAGCACGCTGTCTCACCTGGCATCGTGCCCGACAGAGATAGTATCAGTGATGAGCATATCGACACTAGTATTCACGCATGTCTTGTTCGTACGGTGTTCCGAACCGTTAGAATAAAAACGAAGTTACACGAACACGATGCAACATCTATACTAATATAATAAAGCAGAAGAGGGTTTTTGTTTGTTTAAACGTGCTAATCTCTGGAACTACCAGTCCGATTTGAAAAATCTTTTTTTGGATATTATAGCCAGATTCATGTTGAATAGTATAGGCTATACAGCATTAGGCTATATATAGGAAGTCAGAAGAAAAAGCGCTGTTATGGTTCGGGATACGTAAATACAATGTTCTAGAAAAATATAGATCTTTACTCCGTCTAAAAAAAGTCCGCGATACCATATGTCTATTTCTTATATATAAGCCACAATTAGCGCCCAATCAGACTGCACTAGCGGGTGCGGGGGCGGGTGCGGGCGCTCGGGTCTTAGCGTCTACGTATTCATAGTGCCGAACGAGCTACGAGTGTCATTACACATGTGTTTGGTCGTTCTCAAACTTTGCTACGTATTTAGAAGACATGGATGAAGATTTGCTTTTATTAATGGAAAATTCATACTTGAAATGGAAATTACAATATATGAAGTTTGGCACACACGATTTAAATAAAGGAAGAGAAGAGTTTGGAGAATTTTATGTATTATACGCTGATTTACGGACGTATCCCGATAAATTCTTTGAATACACGAGAATGTCATTACACACTTTTGACTACATATTAAATAAGATCTCACCATGTTTAGTCAAGATTGACACCAATTTTAGAAAAAGTATAAAACCTGAAGAGAAACTGCTTATAACAATAAGGTAAGTGCATGTTTCCATATCGAAACAACATTTGTTTTAATCAATAATATTCATTTATTTATTCTTAATTAAAATCTATAAATCAGTCAAAAATTACGTTTATAGAGTAGTTAATTAATTACTGTCTATCCATATTGTGATAAGGGTTGAAATCCACGTTGCCTTGGGTATTAAAGCTATATGAGTCATATCGTCTTTCGTACTCCAATTTTTCTGTCTCTGCCATTAATAATTGCATAATTTTGTTCTTTACTCGCAGTTTTTGTAATGGCGGAAATGCTCTCATTTGTGGAATGAGACTTTTAAAGAAATAATAATCTTCACATTTCTCTTCACCATCATTTGAAGATGTGGTTGCTTGCGAAAGTTTCAATTGAAGTAACTCAATTTTTTTATTTTCGAGTTCAATAAATTGCTCTCTGTAATCAGAAGCACACTTGCGCTTTTTGCTTCCTGAACTCGATTGAGATACTGTATCAGTGACATCAGTTATTACACTAGATTCATCTGTATCGGCATGGTCTTGTGAAATGTTGTGTGTTACTGCATCCAAATTTCCGGAAGATTGTTCAGCAGTTAAATCATCTTTAATAAATAACATTTGTTGAAAATAAGGCCAAGTGGACTGTAGAGTATCACCTGGATCACCTGAGCGTGCTGGTGGAAACTTCTTTAGTTCTTTACGAAAATGGTCCCTTAAATTTTTCCATTTCTTTCGCAGCTGTTTATCTGAAAATAATTTGTGTTTAATACTTTGTTACAGATATTTGTCAACTGGCATGTCTTTTACAGCATTGTCACACAGTTTTAGAATGGGTGTAAGTACCATTTCAACTTTAGTCCATGAAACATGTATGGCAATATGGAATGAGTTAGT